TGACTCGGCCCTCTACCTGTGCCTCTTCGTCGTCTTCTCCTCGGCCCAGCCCTGCGTCCTAGAGGGGAACGGGACCCGCCTGACGGTGACAGGTACGGCGGGGGCAGCACCTCTGGGCGCAGCACACAGCAGGAGCTGCTGGGAAGAGGGGAATTAGAGCATGGGATTAAGGAGCTAATGCAGCCAGTTGGTGGCCAGATACTGCAAGGGGTTTAAGCAGCCATTGGCGGGGCCCGGAGGAACTGGGTACACAGGAACTGCTCTATCAGTTCAAACCCCACCTTTATTACCGACGTGTAGGTAAGTCGGGGAGCCCCCTCTGTGGGCACTGGGAAATCGGGTTAGTGTTCGTCAGTAAAGAACGATCTGAAGCCAAACCCATCTCAGGTGCTCTCAGGCGGGGGTAAGGGCATCGCACCAAAGGGTCAATCCATGTAAGGAAGTTAATTGGTTAAATCGATTGTGCCCAGGGGCCTCGTCAGTAACACATTTAATCCCAGGCTGGTTCCCAGCCCGTGCCTACGTCCCGCTCAGGTCAAAGCAGGCGCGAAAGTTAAGCACGTCTCGTCTCAGTGCTTTGCTGAATCGGCACCTTACTGACCCCAGCTGCCTTTTCCGGGCCTGTGTTCCTAGTGCACATCAGGCAATTTAAACGTCTGGCCTTGATTGGCAGGCATTGTCCAGGGAAGTGGGTAGGGTGCTAGCCAAGCACACTGGAGACCCCACTTCAATCCCCAGCTCCGCCACAGACTGCCCCTGTGACTGGGGTCAAGTCACTTCACCTCCTCGGGCCTGAGGTCTCCAGCTGTCCAAGGGGGTAATAGCACCACCCTGCTTTGCAGGGGGCCCTGCGGATAAACACAGGAAAGTTGTGAGGTGCTCAGATGTAAGGGGGGGCAGGCTCCACGGAGTGAGGAGACTGAAAAGCCCAGGTCAAACATGCAGAGAACAACAAACAGCAAGGAAGCCAGAAACACAAGGGAAGGGGGAATGTTTTAAACAAGGCTTGGTCAGAAAAACCCGTCAAAGCTGTGTTGTGAGGGAAAATTAGGTTCTCAACTAAATGAAAAATTTTTTCAAGCATTTTCCACAGAAAATATCCAAATATTGTCCAAAGCGCTGGATTTCTGGACAAAAGCAGGGTTTTCAATGCAAAGTTGAATTGTTTTCTATTCTCATGGAAATCGTCTGTGGAAAGCAGCACCCCCATTTGCTGACTAGCTCTGGTTTGAAGCTTTAGCGAGAAGGGCCGTGACGGGGGTCGCAGGAGGTGCTGGCTGCGATTAGCAGGTCACTCGGCCCAGAAGAAGCGTAGTTAGTTGAGTAGCACTTGGAGATGGAGAACGCTGCGTATCGGTAAGCGCTGTGTGTTATCGGGGAAGTGCTGTCTCTGAGTCTGAGCTGTCTGTAAAACCACCATCTATACCTCGTGCCACAGAGAAAGCAGGGTCACATGAGCGATGTCTGGCTGTCAGCTGCTCTTCCCCGCAGAGACGGTAACACCACCAAATGCTGAGCGTGGGTTTCCCCTTCCTCCTGTAGGCTTCTCTGCTCAGGGGAACAGGACCCAGATCAGCTCCGAGCACCGGGAACTGCCTGAGCATCACTGGACCGTCCGGCTGCTGGCGCTGGGAGCGGGGATTGTTCTCACGGCTGCCGTTGTGCTTTGCCTGCACAGGACGAGGGCAGGTGAGAGGCAGGAACTAAACCCATAATGCAGCTGCCGTTGTGAAGCAGCCACCCGAAGTGTTCCAGCTCGGGGCATCTCCCTGCGCTTCCATTCCAGGCACACCTCCGGCAGGTGATATGAGCAGTGTGGCCTGGGGCATGCTATTGAGTGCGATAAGCTGCCATATTTCTGAGCGTGAATTCTCACTGCGTTACAGGGACCCCCGAATGAAGCCACAGAAACCATTTCACAGACCAGGACTCAGGAGAACAACCAGAGCAAACTCCTGCCCGGCGGCCCGCTCGGAACATGCCCGGGTGGCAGCAGACCGTGCGCGGGAATCGGAGCATATTCCAGCTCAGCTCCTGCCCCCCTCCCCTCGTGCCAGCAGCAAAGAGCTCGCCTTTGCACACCCCTCTTGTCACCTGCTTCTGACTGCTCCAGAATCCTTTACCGGGGGCAGGGAGAGGCTGTGTGACTGTCCTGCTGCCCCTTGCAGCTCGGCTGCCTTCGGCTAGGGAGGCTGGGGAGAAGCCTCACCTCTTCGTTCTTGCTCCTCTGCCGACAGTCAGAGCGGCACTCACCTCATTGCTCTCCTCTGTGCCTCCGCAACCTTCGCCATTCACATCAGGGCCAGCGACCTCCTGCCAGGGAGCACTGGGGAGATATCGCAGCCACAGCAGGGAACGGCTCTTCGATGGCTCTGAATTTTATATGCATTTGTCCAGATTTTATTTGTTGTAAATTCTATAATAAAGTCGGTATTTTAACAGTGGGCATCAAACGAATACATTTGATTTCAACTATAAATTCAGGGCCATGCCTGGCTGGTCTAATTCTTATAAAAGCCACCAAGAAAAACAGGCAAGGGAAGGAAAGTGCTGCATAGTTCCCAAGATAAAAAGTCCTGTTAATCTGGAGTTAAGGCTCAGACTATGTACTAGCATGTCTTAGTAATTGAAGTATAAACAAATCTTCCCGGGATGCACCATCTTTTAGTCAGTCAGTCAGGGAATTTGTTTTGGGGACCCCCTACTCCCTGAACTGTGTCCTCGAGCCAGGGAGTGAGAGTTTGGGGATTTTATAACCAGCTACGTATTACACCTGTGGAGGGATTTACCACCTCCTCCCACTTGTGAGTCCTTTGGGCTGTAACCCAGCCAGCCACACTGCTAAACCACCGCAGAGAAGAGCTCGTGGTCATCGGTCATCTAGGGCCCCAACAAAGTACGCGAACCAACAGGACACATATCTTATATTTGCTACATCAAGTCACGTGACTGGGGAAAGTCACAGGTATTAGCAGCGTGGGCACCGGTGACCCTAACAATAGTGTCATTACTGAACACTAACTGTTTAATGTAATTACTGTGTTTGTTTGTGTTATTTCTTGGGAGTCTCCAACTATCTGGCAGGTAAGTGGGGGTTACCCTGTGGTTAGAATTTTCTTCCCAAGCTGCCCTGGTGACCCTGCCGGGAAGGAGTGAGGAGGGTGGAGGCACCACCAAATAAATTCATAGGGAAAAAGAAAGAAGATACACTCTGCTGAGTGGGTGGTGGGATCCGGAAGAACTCAGCCCTGTCCATCAAAACCTGTAAACCAACTGGCATTGAAGAAGGTAACAGGATGGAAAGGGGGCAATACACCAGTTATGCCCCATCCCTGCTCCAGTAACTCAGCCATGGTGCTCATCTGCTGTGGCAATGCGAACGGGATAATGAATTACAGGACTCTAATCAGATCTGCTTGGCTCTAGGGTCTCTGCAGTGCCCTGCCTAGTCCACCCCTCTCCCGCTAGGGAATCATGGTTCATTTCAGCAGAGATTCGTCTGTGCTACAAGACAGGGAGGGGATGAGCTGTCGGCACTCAGGGGCAGACAAAGCTGATGAGTTTCAGGAGATGCTGAGTCACGTACCGTACCTTCCAGTCAGGGCCGGCTCTAGGTTTTTTGCTGTCCCAAGCAAAAACATTTTTGGCTGCCCCCCACCCCAGCCCTGGGCTCTCCCCAACCCCAACTGCACCCTCCTGCCGCCCCAGCCCTGGGTCACTGGTAACTCGCTCCCAGGGCGGGTCATTCAGCAGGAATTTTGGATGTGCACAGAACACAGACAGGATTGGTTCCCATATGGTTACAGAACTGCAGTAAAGTGGAACAATTTTCAGCTTGTGTGATTGGAGGGTATCTGGATGCATATTATAAGACTGTCCGACATAAATGAGGAAAAGTTGAGGTGCCTTTATTATTCTTTTGTTCCATTCTGTGTTTCTATGGGGAATTTGCCAATGCAATATCACTGTCTTCCTTTTAAACAAATAAAACTAAAAAAAGGCAATGGCTGTTGAAAATAGCAATTCCAGTCCTAATAACCACTGGGAAGCATTTCTTGCTCCTATTTATTCTTACTTTTTCTACAGCAAGTTACAGTGGATCCGTATCTTTAATTTGGGAGAAATGAAGTAACAGCTGCCCAAACTGAGCTTGAGCACTCCTGAATTTTGAGGTGTTCAAATCTGGAAGGCAGGTGCTAGATTCCCTTTCTGAATATTAGCTACATCTGGAAAGGAAAAGTCAATTTCTGACTTCCATGGCTCAGAAGTGTAAATCCTCCTACGTGCCTGGTACTGTATCTAAAGCTGCCCAGGTCCTAGTAGAGCCTCCCCTCCCTTACTTCTCATTTTAAATTCTAGTGGGATCCACGTACCTGCCTTGCTAGGCTTCAGATAGAGAGGGGCACTGTCCATTTAGTCCCCCCAATTCTTTCTTTGGGGGAGAGCCCAGGGCTGGGGTGGCAGGAGGTGCGGGGAGGAGCCCAGGGCTGGGGCAGCAGGGGGTGCAGGTGCAGGGAAGAGCCCAGGGCTGGGGGGGGGGCGGCAAAACACCTAGAGCTGGCTCTGCCCCTACCATTCCCAGCAAGCTGCAGCGTGAGGTTTCAGTTCCATGCTCCTTCCCCCTCCCTTTCCTGTGGCTAGTGGCCAAGGGCATGCTGGGAAATGTAGTTCTTTCCCTGCTCCAGGGCTGGCTCTATAGGCCGAGAGCTAACCAAGGAACTACAGCTCCCAGGGCCCCCTGTTGGTTCTCAGCTCCCAGGCTGGATTCTTGCGCCCCTGCAAATTTGCCGCCCCAAGCGACTGCTTGCTTTGCTGGTGCCTAGATCCGGCCCTGGCTCCAGGAGGCTGGCAGAGCAAGTATGGACTAGATAAGCAGGGTCTCTCCAACCAGCCATGCTGTGAATAGACCAGCCAGGACTTGGGCTGGGAAACGTTGGGTTTATTCACAATTACACACGAATGAGAAGGTTCCATCAGAACAGGAAGAGCCGTACATAGCTCAAACTAGGAGCACAGGGAAGGTTTTTACAGGCCAGGGGCACTGCCAGAACAGCTCAGGAAATGGACTTTTTCAGTCCATAGGACACTCGGTTGGAACAGAAAATTGAAATGTCGAAACATTGTGTGGAACGAAAAGCCCCCCAGAATTTCAAATCAGAAATTCTGACATGAAAAATGTCAGCACTTTTGACAGAAACTAATCATCAATTGTCACTTTAAAATGATATTTCAAAGCTAAGCAACAATTTTTGTTTTATTTTTTGACATAACTTTTCATTTTGCTTTTTTAAAACCAAAAATAAATGACATTTTATGTCAAAACAAAAAGTGTCACTTTGTTCTCAAATGTTGATTTATAAACGGTAATTTGCATTTTGACATTTCTTGCTGGAAAATTGACATTTTTTCAGCAGAATAAAGATTTTCCCAAGAAAATTTTCAGTTTAGACAAAACTGTATTTTTTGGCAGGACAATTTTGGCCCTCTCAGGTGATTTGCGTTTGGAATGGGTCACCACGGGATGTGGCGGGTCTTTCACCACCTGGAGTCTAACTCACAGTTGGAAGTTCTCTTTTCAAAGCAGTAAGTGACTTACGCGCATGGACCTGTGTGCCTAAATCACTTAGGTGCAGCCCCGCTTGTGTAGTGGGGAAGAGTAATTCCCTCCGATGCTGAACTCACGGGGTGAGATTCTCTGGCCTGGGCTAGGCAGGAGGTCAGAAAGCCTGGGCAGGAACGGGATTTTGCAACTTAGTTACACCGAGTTTTCCTGCCCAGGTGCTTGTCATCAAACGTACACGGAGCAGATGCCAAAGATACAGACAAGCACCCAACGTAGGAATTCAGCACTAAGATGACAGTAACTACACAGCTATCCCGTCCTCCATTGGCTAAAAGCCAGAAAGACAGCGCTCGGCTGTAGCTGCCCTAAGGAAATGCCCCCTTGGCTCAATACAGAAAGCTGTCTGCTCTGCCCTTTCTAACCACAGCGTAAACCGTGTCGGAGGGAGACCTTGCTGGGGAACTTGCTCTTCTCGTTCTGCTCTGTGTCGGCGGCTGGATGCGGCGATCGGTGTACGTGATCTCTTCTGCCGTCATTCGGGAATTTACCCTCGTCACTCTCCTCTGAGTCTGTGGTCGGATACTCAGCTCTGCATACGTGATCTCTTCTCCCTCACTCGGAGACTCCTGCAGCACAAGGAAATTAGGCTTGGAAATGCCCTAAGCTACTCCACCGTGGGATACGGTTGTGCAGCCATGTAGACAGAACTGGCTTATAACAGGCGACAGCAACCCCCATGTGCTGGGCCCTACAGCACTGCAAACTCGTAACAGTACAGCAGGTTTATTGCTGACGATGACAGCAACAAACGTACCTGAATGTGTGGACTCAACTCACCTTCATCAGCCGAAGGCTGTGACCAGCGGAGTCGCCTGCCCCAGCACGAGGTGATGTGTGCAGCACTCTGGAAGCAAGCCCTGTTTGTGGACAAACAGAAAGTGACGCTGGGTCATGGAGAAAGAAGATCCAAAACCAGGCCGCTCTGTCGGGCCAAAGACAGTTAACTGCTTGTCATGTTAACTTGTCTGACGCGCTAACAGCAGCAGCTCTTCTGAACGTTCACCCAGCAATTCAAAAATTCACATCTGTTCAAAGCTGACGCTTATCAAGGGCTGAGCAAGATTCAGGCACGTTTGAGGGTCTTGTCCCTTAAAGCCATTTGGGGTTAGCTGAGCAGTTTAAAGGCTCGGACACTTTTCTAGGGAAAAACACTATTTTTCACACTCAGAAACACACACACACACCCGTCAGCTTTGACCCGCTAAATCAAGGTAAAAGGTGTTACTGTGCGTTGAGAAAAGGTTCTGGTTCGGTTGGGGTTAGCGAACATGTCTTGCCGCAGCCTGGCTTTCAGCCGGCACGGTCTCTGGGGCAGGGCCTGTCTACGGGTCTATCGACAGCAGTCTGGAGCCCAGGGGAGCGAGCCCCCAGCCCGGGGCGACCGACGAGCGCTCTACGAAGCGCTGTGCACACGGGGCTCTGCACTTGCAGCTCAGGCTGGATCTCAGGCTCTGGCTGTAGAACTAATGAATGAAATTGTTTTTAATGTTCACTTTATTAATGTATCAGAGGGGTAGCCGTGTTAGTCTGAATCTGTAAAAAGCAACAGAGGGTCCTGTGGC